ACGAACTACGAAAGGCTTGATCCCCTCAAAAGGGTACGTAGGCAGCCTTCACAAGGCGCAGCCCTAATCTTAAACGCTTTCCGCTCCCTGGAGAGTGGAAAGATCACTTTCAATGGACCTTTCCAACCATTAATTCCGCCTAACTTAACTAAAACTGGCTAACCACTCGCAAGAACCTTACGCTAAAGGCTCAAGATTCGGTCACAACGGAATCAATGGCAAAAAGTATCCGCATAAAATATAAAAGAAATCGTTTTATAAAACTCGAAGAATCGTTTTATAAAACTCGAGAATCGTTTTATTAAAATCGAAGAATCGTTTTATAAAACTCGAGAATCGTTTTATAAAACTCGAAGAATCGTTTTATAAAACTCGAGAATCGTTTTATAAAACTCAAGAATCGTTTTATAAAACTCGAGAATCGTTTTATAAAACTCAAGAATGTTTTTATAAAACTCGAGATTCGTTTTATAAAACTCGAAAATCGTTTTATAAAACTCGAGAATCATTTAATAAAACTCGAGATTCATTTTATAAAACTCGAGAATCTCTTTATAAAACTCGAAGAATCGTTTTATAAAACTCGAGAACAGTTTTATAAAACTCGAGAATCGTTTTATAAAACTCGAAGAATCGTTTTATAAAACTCGAGAATCGTTTTATAAAACTCGAAGAATCGTTTTATAAAACTCGAGAATCGTTTTATAAAACTCGAAGACTATTTTATAAAACTCGAGAATCGTTTTATAAAACTCGAGAATCATTTTATAAAACTCGAGAATCGTTTTATAAAACTCGAGAATCGTTTTATAAAACTCGAGAATCGTTTTACAAAACTCGAGAATCGTTTTATAAAACTCGAAGATCGATTTATAAAACTCGAAGATCGTTTTATTAAAACTCGAAGAATCGTTTTATAAAACTCGAGAATCATTTCATAAAACTCGAGAATCGTTTTATAAAACTCGAAGATCGTTTTATAAAACTCGAGAATCGTTTTACAAAATCGCGAAAAACCGAAACCGCCGGAAAACGCGAACTAGTCACGACTAGTTCACCAGCTCGGCTTAGTTCGCCAGCAGGCAAACTAGGAGCTTCCAAACTAGTTCGCCTGCTGGCGAACTAAGCCAGCTCGGCTTTGTTCGCCAGCAGGCGAACTAGAAACCTCCCAACTAGTTCGCCTGCTGGCGAACTAGATACTCCCCAACGGCGAACTAAGAGGTGCTGACTTTGCCCCACAGGTTCGTATCGCCTAGTTCGCCATATGGCGACCTGGCCAAGCTGAACTAGCTCGCCGTACGTCGTGCCGTCCATCCCGAGCCTGGATATTCCACATCCTTGTTTCAAGGCATACGTCCTTCGGCACGATCGTATTCTGAATCATGGTCGAAATGTCTCCCGTTTCGTCTCGATCCGTCCTATCGTTCGAGTTTTACGATAAAAACCGTAAAATCTTGTTTTCTCGAAAAGAACTCGAGGAAATCGTATAAAACGGCAATGGTTAAACGAAACACCTAATATTGCCTAAACTATACGATTTATTCAAGATTTTTCGTAAAAATCGTACAAGACGCGTTTTTAATCGTAGAAAACGGCAACGATTAATCGAAACATCGAACATTTCTTAGCTTTACGATTAACTCGAGAAAACTATCTAAAAACGGCATCGTATCAGGAAACGATCTCGTCTAAAGTCGTAAAACTGATTTATCGCAAAACGGCTCGGAAAGTCATAAAACGCGATAAAAGCCACTCGCGACTTTAAACGAATTCCAACCCGAAGATACGACGACGTTTTGGCGATTTACTCGCAGAAAGAAGATAAATGTCAAACTTGAAGATAAATGTCAAGTTTGAGGATTTCCGCGGGAAAAAAGGAAAGATCGATATAAATGGAAGATTCCCATTAAACTCGAATCTGGGCGAAATGGAAAGACTAAACTGCCTAGGAAGGGAGTATATAAGCAAGAGGCATAGAGCAGAAGCAAAGGGACGAAATCCAGAGCTCTCATCTGAGACTTTTACAACTTTTCTAGACTTAGAATTTTCCGCACTTAGAAACTTAGGTTTTTTCTCGACAAGTTCAGTTTCTATGACTGGCGCTCAATTACTAGACAAACTCGCACAGGCAGTTCGATCTCTGGTCCAGCTCTACCAACTGAACTACATTCGACTTGATCCTCGAAAGGGGTACGTAGGCAGCCTTTCATAAGGTCCAGTTCGAAATCAATCAAATCCTTTTTCTTATCTTTTTCCGTCTTTTGTTATCGAGCTGCGACTCGATTAGGTTTAAGGTTTATGTTGATAACTCGCTGACGGCCCTGCGGCCAAAGCCTTTGTAAACCCTTGTAATGATCGCAACGCCCTTACGCGAAATCGAAATAAGATCTACTTTTTCTTTAAATTTGTTTTATTACATTTTTCATATTTTTCCGCATTTATTTGGTTACTTGTCGTTGGCTTTCGCAGAGATCCGGTTCCTTTGGAAAATTAGGATTTTCCTAAGCTTCCTTATTTAACGGAAATCGACAAGTGTGAATTTCGGTTCCCACATAAGATATTGTTGGTTTTTCCTGCAAGTAATCTATTATAAATTAGAGAATATTATTCTTAAGTTGTTATGATTAGTTACCGATCAAGATACTGATATCTTGCTTGTATATCATTAACTTATCTTATCTATTATATTAAAAGAGGATATTTTTCTTAGTTGTTTCAATATTTTATTGCAAAAATTTAGGAAATAATGAATGAACGTTAAGAATATTCTTTTAGAAGGTTTATTTATATATATTATGGTTGCAACAGGTTTTTAAAAAAAAATGTTTGGCAAATTAAAATTAGATTACCAGTGTTCAGAATATTCTTTTAAAAGGTTAAAATAGCCGGATTTTGTGTGATCAAAATTTCGATATATAAGGAATATCTTATAATACACAGTTTTTAAAGAAGATATATATGAATGATATATATATGAATGATTTTAATTTTCTTTGGTCCAAAAAAGTGTATGTGTTTATGTGTCACATAAATATGTACGTGATCGTAAACTTCAAACGACGTCAAAAAAGACCATAAACTTCAAAATGCGACTGGTTTGATGCTATTTTTTTTTCAAAAAACATTAAACTTCAAAAGTTCTAGTTTCTTGACAACTACTCAAACTATGAACACAGCAGGGTAGAGAAGAGGCTAAAACAAAGCATAAAGAATGATCATTATATCGTATGTAATATGTATTAGAATAGAGAATGATCTTTATTATAGAAACAAAAAAAATTCTAGTTTATGTAAAAGAGTTTACCAAGATCCTTGTCGCCAGACTTAGTGAGCTGATTGATCGCTGGTTGGACCTGGAAAATTTCTTAAGGATCATCTTCTGCTTTTGGAGATGGAAGAGGTCGACCACTACCAACTTGCTCAGGCCTTCTCTCAATACAAAACTAATCTTCATAATTCTCATCTTTCTAACATAAACACACACACAAAAGTAGCAAATGAGGTTCTTAGACACTAATACAAAGGATAACCAGTATTAGGTAAGAGCCAAGCCTATCTTTTTGGTGACGTTATTGCACAGAACAGCCCACACACTCCCAGTCATAAATCAAGTTTCCAGTCAAGTCCAGTAGCTTCAAATCTAGAACAACAGACGAAGCAAATGAAATATGTAGGTTACAAAAGTGTTTGATCTGAAAGAAGACTGAACCATACTGGGTAGAACTGAGGCCAAATCAGATAAAACTCCAAGACAGCTAACACCAAGAAAAGGAAGAGAAGCACTCGTAAGCTCATTAAGCCGACTTAACTTGTCCTGGATCTTGTCACCTCCCAAAAGCTGAATCGAAACACGTTTGTTCTTCGCAGACAGAACATACATTAACTCTAACACCAGCAACAAAAAAGCAGAGATAACATTATTTCAAAAACCAACCATGTGTACTGCACAGTCGAGAAGAGAGAGGAGAGGATAAGACAATCCTTGCTTTGTAGATCCCAATCAACGCCGATAAAGGTTCCTGAGTACCCTTCCACGCCTCCGATGTACTTTAAGGTGCCCACTCGATGTGGATCGTTGAGCGAGTGGATGTTTGAACCGAGTTCGGTCTTTTCAGTAAATGAGTGACAGGACTCGTCGGTGGGTTATTTCAAAGGCGCTTTCTTACTATTTAGAGTCGAAGAGGTAGTTTTATTGATGTGAGAGTTCGATTACAAATGAGAAAATGAGAGGCAAGGCAGAGTCTCGCGGGGAGCTCGGCCGTGCCGTACAAGTTAGAAAAGAAGTAAAGGAGTGAAAACCCTAGTTCTAGCCGCCTTGTGAGTGAGAGTAATTTTGGATCCTTTCCTCGTTGCCTCTTCCCTCCCTTTTATAGCAGTCATGCCTTTGACCTAGCGAGCTCATCGCGGATCTAGAGGGCTTTCTCCAAATGGGCCTCGGGCGGCCCGCTAAGTTAAGCATTTTGCCTAAACCTCTTTAACTCGGCTAATCGCGGGGATTAGCCGAGCTAAGCTTAATCAAACGTTGATTACCGAAGAGCTATCTTGTTGGGCATGAACTCGTTTGGGCTGAGCTCGTTATTAAATGGGCCTGGTGAGGAAGTGTATTCCACCACCTACAGTATGTCCCCCAGATCCGCTGCCGAGTTATAGCCTTAATCAGAGCGATTTCGTCAAGTTGGCCCATAGAATAACAAGGTCAGTTAACGCGTTACGTCGTTTTCCCACACAGCGGCTTTCCTACTCGCGGGTTTGGGAGCGGTTGTTATTGCGGGCGCGGATTGTCGGCTCGATTCCCATACCATTTGTTAATGCTACCCTTGAGTTTACGAATGGCACGTTCGTGGTCGTTAGCTCGAAGCTCGGACGAGAATGTGAACAGTCATGGGATCCATAAGTTTCTTGGGAATTAAAGCCCATTTAACTCGGAATATGAAAAGTTGCGAGCGGCTTTTAGGCCCAACTAGGCTCGAGTAGACCTAATTAATGTCTTCGAGAGTTGCGCCCCTCTTCTTTTCCTATAAATACTCTTCCTCTCTTCATTCTCATCACTTCTCTGTTTCTGCTGGTACTCCTTCTCTCCCTTCTCTCTAGTTTCTCTCTCTAGATTAATGTAGGATATATATGTCCGTTGTCGGTAAGATGTGTCCGCGAGTAAGGTTGACACGCGAAGAGAAAGGAAAGGAAATCGCGACTTCGTCGAGTTCGGCTAGGGACGAGACGACTAACGAACCCTTGGAAAGTTTTAGATTAGAGCACAGAAATGCGCTGATGGATGTAGATGGCCTCAGCCTTTCTCAGCGACTCCTGATCGTCGATACTGAGAGAGAACTCAGAGGCGATGAGGCGGGGAATTCAGCAGCGCAAATGATGGGCGATCCCCGAATAGAGCGACCTCAAGCGCTGCCACTCAAGTCTTCGAGAGCGATATCTAACTGACCTCGAAGAGGGAGCTCGAATAGATCCCGTCAGAAGAGCTCTGGCCGGTCTCGATCGGCAGTTCCTGAACGACCGGGACCGGTTTGGTACGTGTCAGATAACGCGAGGCAAGTCGAAAGGGAGAAGCTTCCTCCGGCTCCGACTCGCTACACGAGGGAAGACGAACTTTGAGAGGGGGACCGTACTCCCGCAAGAGTTTCTGCGTCCTGCTAAAATCGTCGGTCAGGATTGGCCGAAAACGTTCGAGACGGAGTCGACGGTGGAGACCGTCGAGAATCTTCTGATAGCTCAGAACGCCGTGGGAGTTACTTATCAGATTCCGAGTCCTGATCAGCGCCCGTGGTCGCCACCGTTCGACTATCGTGTGTATACGAGTCCTACTTTGGGAGCCATACTAGGCTTTGGTTCCTGATTCCTCTCATGCTGACTTCTTACGTCGCTCGTCGGGGCGTGGCGATTAGTCAGATGGTGAACGGATCGTTCCGCATCATGGTTGCGCTTATGGTGATGGCGGCCGAGATTGGGATAAGTTTATGTGTGTACGCATTTGAGCAATTAACAACGGTATCTCACCTCGGTCGAGGGCTTTTCTTGGTTAGGAGGAGACAGGACTACAACGTCATTACCGGTTATCCTGACAAGACACCACACTGGCAGCGTCGCTACTTCTACGTCAAGTCGGATCAGCATGCTTTTATCGATCCTCCGGATGACGTGTTCCGGGTTTACTGGAACGGCGTTGTTGGTAGTTAGCTCGCCTCGACCACCGTTCGTATACACTTTAGCTAATTTGTCTTTTCTTCTTTTGTAGATCCTCACCCTAGTTTCTACTTGACCGACGCTGCTGTTCCGCCGTCATTTCTTTCCGACACTCGTGCTTTGGTGGAGTTAGGTCATCGCAAGTGGCCTGATATTAGTTAGGAGAGGGTCCAGCGCGCGATAGATCGCATTAACCGGGGTAAGGAAGAACGCATTCAACCTCCTTTCCCACCTTACATGTGATATTTTGCTCAAGTCGTGATTTGCACAGGTGACTAGGACGAGGTGTTTCAGTACGAAGCCAAGCCTGGAAAGAAAAGGTCGAATCTCTTCTCGCCAGCGGAACAGAAGGTCATCAAGCAAGCGCTCATGAGGAAAGAACTCCCAGATCTCTCTCAAGTCATTCAGAAGAAACGAGGCGGCACCTCGCAGGGCAACGCACTGATGGGATTGATCGACACGTTCGATCTCGGAGGGGGAACATCCTCTGATAATCCGATTCTTCCTCCAACCGGGGGCTCTGCTGCCAACTCGTCGGGCCTATCGGCTGGAGGCCCAAAAAGACCGCAGGTCGAGGAGATGGAAGATCGGGTTGCTGATCCTGAAGCAACTCAAGAAGACCCCCAGCTGGTTCTCCGGCTAAGAAGAGGAGGAAGAAGAAGAAGTCCAACTCGGTAGGGGATGGGTCGGCCTCTAAGGTTGCCCGAGTGTCTGTGATCGCGAGGATGATGGGAGCCTGCCTGAAGGGGAAGGCGCAGAAGGTCAGGAGCTCGTCGTGGCGAACCCGACGGACGAAAACCCTCTGCGGGAGCAGGATGCGCCTCCTCTCGATGATCCCAAGGAGCCGGCGAAGAAGTCAGGCAAGAAGAAGAAGAAGGAAGCACCGAAGGAGGCAACGGTCCCGATGCGGGAGCCAGCTCATCGACTGACAAGCCATGTGGTGCTGACCCTAGGATCCTCCGTTGTTCTGATCAAATGGTCTTCAAGAAGGCTGACCTAAATGTGGCTAGGCTCAAAGAAGCGGTGAGTTACCTTTGATTTTTCTTTTCTATGTTTAGGTTTTACCTCGCTGTGTTTATAGCTGAAGTGTTTGTTTACAGGAGGATGATGGGATTAACACCTTAGTCGAGAAGTATGACGGCGAGCTCAAGGCGACGTACGTCAGCCTCGGGGAGGCTCAGGAGAAGACCGACATTGAACGGTAGCGCTCAGTCACTCTCGAAGCCTCGCTTGCAGATTCTGAGGCAATAAGAGCTGAAGCTACTCGCCAAGCCGACGACAGGGTGAAGGAGATTGAAGAGACCTTCAAGGAATTGGAGGCTGTTAAGGCCGCATCTGCCGAGCTCGAAAATGAGAAGGCCAGACTCGAGTCGAAGATGGCCAAACTTATGAAGGATGCAGACTACGAGGTCACTCATCTGAGGAGGAGTCGGGTCCTCGAGGTTACCCGCGAACGAGCGAGGACCCAGTTCGAGATGGGCCAGAAGGCAGATGCTCACTTTGAACGGCTCAAGGCTCGCGATGCGAAGATGGATGCGTATGATGACGTGAGAGGCCTCTAAAGTCAAGCCTTTGGAACTCGAAAGTGTCTAGAGTTGCTAAAGAGGGAGGGGGAGGCTATTCCGCAGAAAAAGATTGACGAGTTCCGCGAGGAGGAGAAGATCCACAAGGCTGAAGCTGAACGGCTGTATCCCGGGTCGCCTGACAAAGAGGTTTACTGCCTTTCCCCATTGGTGCTCCCCTCCAAGTACGTTTATGAGACGGTCTTCATGTAGATGATGGCCGGTTACGACAGGAACTCGGTCGATGGATTCGATCCAACGGGTTTGAATGTGAATGAGCTGACTCCCGAGATAGCTGCTCAGCTCCGTTCTCCCATTCATTCGGGCGGTGTTTGGCACGCCTCTGGTTTCTCCGACGAGTTTGACATATCGGGTCTTGATGGCACCGACGGCAGAGCCAATCCGACCGAGCTAGATGAAGATCAGGGCATAGGTCGACAAGTCACAGTTCATTCCCCCTCATCGACGAACGCTTCCCGAGCTCAAGAAACTGAGGCCCATGACAACGATGACGACGCCGCGTCGGCTCAGGAATAACTTATTGATGTAATTTTCCTTCTGTTTCTTACTCCGTGTGTGGAGTTGTTAACGGATAAAGCCCTGTAGTTCGCTTAAACATTTTAGACTCGTTTTGCCTTAGTATTTTTTCTGTTGGAATTTTTGAATCTAGTTCGACGCTCAGGAACGAGAATTTGTTTCATAGCTATGGAATTTAGTTAGGGGTTATCAGAGTTCGTTCGCCTCCGATGTGACCCTCGTTTTAAATTCGAACCCCTAGGTCTCGTTTAGAAATTTTCGTTGAGTTCAGAGTTTTAGTCCGGCAAGTGTTCTTCTCGTTCTTAAATTTGGAAGATTCATTAGAGTTTTGTTATTCTCCAAAGTGATTCCTGTCCCAGATTTGACGAACTTTGCTTGGAACGTTACTCTGGCTAATAACTGTTACTCGAGCTCGGCTCGCTTATCCGACTTAAACATCGCTTGTCGGTTGGGCGAGGCCTCGAATTACTTAGCGATGTTTAAGGTTCTGTTTTAGTTAGGCCGACAAGGGATTCGAATTGTCGCAAAGTAAGTCCGTAGAGTTTAGGTCGGCCGATCCCTACTCTAGGAGTTATTGCGAGATCGA